CGTATCCGATCTAATTAAATACCCGATAGAGTCCGCGAGACACTATTTTTATAAGGGTAGTAGTTTAAGAGTAAGTAAGAGATTTTATAGTCTTTCGTATAATCTCTTCTTCCATTTTAGTACCAAAAACGGAGTGCCTCTTAGGAACCTTTGTATACCGAGATTTCTGACCTTAGTTCTGAATTCCGGAATTGACTCTCACCATTTATTTGATTCAATTGCAAAATTAAATAAATGGCCCGAACCCATCATTAAATTAATAAGTGAGAGTTCTTTCATCCCTATTGATACGGGTTTGGGCTACACCCAGATTTTTAGAAAAAAATTACAGTCTTTTCTAAAACCTATGCTATGGGTTATAAAAATTCAGTATTGACACGCCCGCTTAGTCCTTTGCCTCTGCTTCTCGCGGAGCAAGAATTCATCGAATTAGATCGGCAGGATAAGAAATCAAAAATCTTTTGTTGATCAGGCGACACCCGGATTTGAACTGGGGATAAAGGATTTGCAGTCCCCCGCCTTACCACTTGGCCATGCCGCCAAATTGGATCCAAAATGGCTAAAAATATGATCCATATTCTATTACTAACTCTTTTTTGCTTTTTTTTTTATCTTGCTTGAATCTCGTTGTACTTATCCTTTTTTTATTCCTATTTTTTATTTTTTATTGGATCTAGTTTATATTATTCTCTTCGATTGATTCTATCTCAAAATATACATCACTTTTAAATTTCCCTTCTCTTTTCTATTGAGAGTAAAAAAAATGAATTTTCGACGACAGACTGCAAAATTCAGGGCAAATTGGAACCATTAACAATTTACTTTGAATTAGTGAACGGTTCTTCAATTTTGATCTCCATTGAAATTTTGTTTCCTTGAATGGCAAAAGAAAATAAAATTGATTTATGACTAATCGCATTTTTTTTCAATAATCAATCCTTTTCAATTTCAATTATAACAACATATATGTGTATATGTAAACCCCAGAACAGAAATTGTTACCCGGATACCGAGCCGGGCCTCTCTCTTAATGTACATATCCCTATAGAGAATCACAGTGTTTCAATTTTTCATTGAATATATTGAATAGAAAATACGAATTTTGATGGAGTGTGACCCATGTTGCCCTCCCTAAGTGAAATTACAAGAAAAGGTGTGATATGTGGATAGATAGCTGTATCGGCATGTACTTAATAAATACAATACTATTCTTAGTATATTTATATTACGCAATTCATTACGCAATTCAATCGTATTATATAAATTCCACCCACTACCAAAAAGAATCCGCGAATTCTTTTTTTGAACATGAAATTGAGTGTGTAAAAAAAAAAAAAAGGAAACTCTATACTACTTCTGATTATTCTGTCTTTATCTCGTTTATAGATCTCATTTATAGAGAGGAAGTTGAATCTCAACCATTTATTTTTTTGGTATCCCATCGGATAATAATATCATAGTAATAGGTGGAAATTGGATCAATTTTGATATTCTATACAAGACTCCATACGTGTAAGTGACATCATTTTTTCCAGTAATATTTTCTCAAATTATTTATATTTTTACCTGTCGCAAATTCGAACTCGCGTCGAAAATGTTCTTTATTCCTCCGTCTCGTCTCCGTTCATACGTATGAAATAGATATATCGAGTTGGCTAAAATTTTATGCGATTCAGTAAACAGAATATATATATTCTATTATTGCTAGGTCGATCCGTATGGTTCGATGAATAGTGAATCAATAATTGAATTTTTTCAATAAATAGGAAACTTAAGATTCAGATGCTCCGGAATGGAAATGAGGGAATGTCCACAATACCTGGATTTAGTCAGATACAATTTGAGGGATTTTGTAGGTTCATTGATCAGGGCTTGGCGGAAGAATTTTATAAGTTTCCAAAAATTGAAGATAGAGATCAAGAAATGGAATTTCAATTATTTGTGGAAAGATATAAATTGGTAGAGCCCCTGATAAAAGAAAGAGATGCTGTGTATGAATCACTCACATATTCTTCTGAATTATATGTCCCCGCGGGATTAATTTGGAAACCCTATAGAGATATGCAACAACAAACCGTTTTTATTGGAAACATTCCTCTAATGAATTCCCTGGGAACCTCTATAGTAAATGGAATATACAGAATTGTGATCAATCAAATATTGCAAAGTCCCGGTATTTACTATCGTTCAGAATTGGACCATAACGGAAATTCTGTCTATACCAGCACTATAATATCAGATTGGGGAGGAAGATCGGAATTCGAAATTGATAGAAGAACAAGGATATGGGCACGTGTAAGTAGGAAACAAAAAATATCTATTCTAGTTCTATCATCAGCTATGGGTTCGAATTTAAGAGAAATTCTAGATAATGTTTGTTACCCTGAAATTTTCTTGTCTTTCTCGAATGACAAGGAGAAAAAAAAGATTGGATCAAAAGAAAATGCTATTTTGGAGTTTTATCAACAATTTGCTTGTGTCGGTGGGGATCCGGTATTTTCTGAGTCCTTATGTAAGGAATTACAAAAGAAATTTTTTCAACAAAGATGTGAATTAGGAAGGATTGGTCGACGAAATATGAACCGGAGACTAAATCTTGACATACCCCAGAACAATGTATTTTTGTTACCACGGGATCTATTGGCTGCTGCAGATCATTTGATCGGAATGAAATTTGGAATGGGTACACTTGATGATATGAATCACTTGAAAAATAAACGTATTCGCTCTGTAGCGGATCTGTTACAAGATCAATTCGGATTGGCTCTTGTTCGTTTAGAAAATGCGATTCGAGGAACTATATGTGGAGCAATCAGACATAAATTGATACCGACTCCTCAAAATTTGGTAACTTCAACTTTATTAACAACTACTTATGAATCCTTTTTTGGCCTACACCCTTTATCTCAAGTTTTGGATCGAACTAATCCATTGACACAAATCGTTCATGGGCGAAAATTGAGTTATTTGGGTCCTGGAGGATTGACGGGGCGAACTGCTAGTTTTCGGATACGGGATATCCACCCGAGCCACTATGGACGTATTTGTCCAATTGACACGTCTGAAGGAATCAATGTTGGACTTATTGGATCCTTAGCTATTCATGTGAGGATTGGTCATTGGGGATCCATAGAGAGTCCGTTTTATGAAATATCTGAGAGATCAAAAGAGGCACAGATTTTTTATTTATCACCAAATAGAGATGAATATTGTATGGTAGCAGCAGGAAATTCTTTGGCCTTGAATTGGGGTATTCAAGAAGAACAGGTTGTTCCGGCTCGATACCGTCAAGAATTCTTGACTATTGCATGGGAACAGATTCATTTTAGAAGCATTTTTCCTTTCCAATATTTTTCTATTGGAGCTTCCCTCATTCCTTTTATCGAGCATAATGACGCGAATCGGGCTTTAATGAGTTCTAATATGCAGCGTCAAGCAGTTCCTCTTTCTCGGTCCGAGAAGTGCATTGTTGGAACTGGGCTGGAACGCCAAACAGCTCTTGATTCGGGGGTTTCCGTTATAGCTGAATGCGAAGGAAAGATCATTTATACTGATACTCACAAGATCATTTTCTCAAGTAAGGGGGATACTATAAGCATTCCATTAGTTATGTATCAACGTTCCAACAAAAATACTTGTATGCATCAAAAACCTCAGGTTCGGCAGGGTAAATGCATTAAAAAGGGACAAATTTTAGCGGATGGTGCGGCTACTGTTGGTGGGGAACTCGCTTTAGGAAAAAACGTATTAGTAGCTTACATGCCATGGGAAGGTTACAACTCTGAAGACGCAGTACTAATTAGCGAACGTCTGGTGTATGAAGATATTTATACTTCTTTTCACATACGGAAATATGAAATTCAGACTCATGTAACAAGCCAAGGTCCCGAAAGAATCACTAAGGAAATACCGCATTTAGAGGCTTATTTACTCCGAAATTTAGACAGAAATGGAATTGTGATCCTGGGATCTTGGATAGAAGCCGGTGATATTTTAGTAGGTAAATTAACGCCTCAGACAGCGAACGAATCCTCGTATGCCCCCGAGGATAGATTATTACGAGCCATACTTGGCATTCAGGTATCCACTGCAAAAGAAACTTCTCTAAAACTACCTATAGGTGGAAGGGGTCGAGTTATTGATGTTAGATGGATCCAGAAAAAAGGGGGTTCCAGTTATAATCCAGAAAGGATTCGTGTATATATTTCACAGAAACGTGAAATCAAAGTGGGTGATAAAGTAGCTGGAAGACATGGGAATAAAGGTATCATTTCTAAAATTTTGTCTAGACAAGATATGCCCTACTTGCAAGATGGAACACCTGTTGATATGGTCTTCAACCCATTAGGAGTACCCTCACGAATGAATGTGGGACAGATATTTGAGTGTTCGCTCGGGTTAGCGGGGGATCTGCTAAAGAGACATTATAGAATAGCACCTTTTGATGAGAGATATGAGCAAGAGGCTTCAAGAAAACTAGTGTTTTCTGAATTATATGAAGCCAGTAAGCAAACAAAAAACCCATGGGTATTTGAACCCGAGTATCCGGGAAAAAGCAGAATATTTGATGGAAGAACAGGAGATCCTTTTGAACAACCTGTTCTAATAGGCAAGTCCTATATCCTAAAATTAATTCATCAAGTTGATGATAAAATCCATGGACGTTCGAGTGGACATTACGCACTTGTTACACAGCAACCCCTTAGAGGAAGGGCCAAACAAGGGGGACAACGAGTAGGAGAAATGGAAGTTTGGGCTCTAGAGGGATTTGGTGTTGCTCATATTTTACAAGAGATGCTTACTTATAAATCTGATCATATTAGAGCTCGTCAAGAATTACTTGGTGCTACGATCATTGGAGGAACAGTACCTAATCCTGAGGATGCTCCAGAATCTTTTCGATTGCTCGTTCGAGAACTACGATCTTTGGCTCTGGAACTGAATCATTTCCTTATATCTGAGAAGAACTTCCAGATTAATAGGAAGGAAGTTTGATCCGAATGAATCAGAATTTCTATTCTATGATCGACCGGTATAAACATCAACAACTTCGAATTGGACTAGTGTCTCCTCAACAAATAAGGGCTTGGGCCAACAAAATTCTACCCAATGGAGAGATAGTTGGAGAGGTGACAAAACCCTATACTTTTCATTATAAAACCAATAAACCGGAAAAAGATGGATTGTTTTGTGAAAGAATCTCTGGACCCATAAAAAGTGGAATTTGTGCTTGTGGAAATTATCGAGTGATCGGAGCTGAAAAAGAGGATCCGAAATTTTGTGAAGAATGCGGGGTGGAATTTGTTGATTCTCGCATACGAAGATATCAAATGGGATACATCAAACTCGCATGTCCGGTAACTCATGTGTGGTATTTGAAACGTCTTCCTAGTTATATCGCGAATCTTTTAGATAAGCCCCTTAAGGAATTAGAAGGCCTAGTATACTGCGATGTGTGATTTGATCGAAATTTGCATTTTACAGATTCGGACTAATAAACTGTCATCCTATTCAATCTGATTGGGATGCCCCCGACTCTGACATGTGTCTTGGAAGGAGTAACATGAAGCTCAGAATTATGGGTGTATTCAATACTTCCAAATGAAAGGGGAATTGATCCATGGTCGATTCCGTAACAGATAAATGGGAATTGCTAGCGATACCTCGTGAAAAAACACTTTTTCATGGAATTAGCCATTCCATTTCTTTATAGAGAGAGATTCTGTTCAAGCAAGCAAATATAGCATAGCATGGTTACAGAAGTTTATCTATCGCATATATGCTTCAAAGGGGCATCATGACATAACCATCGAGGTGAGTAGGGACCTAAAAGATCGAATGGAATGAAACGATATATAGACAAGTAAATCCCTTACGAGTCCCAAAGTATTCCTTTAATTTAAAGGGGATTCATCATTTGAAGGGAAGTAGACTACTCAAGAATTTCACATTTCAATTTTGTCGTAAATAAGTCATTTAGAAAGTGAAAAAGCGAAAGTCAAAAGAAAAATGAATTAATGAAAGGTTGTTCCTTACTGGACTGGGAACTTGAGTAAGGAGTAGTTCTTTAGTAGGGTTTTCTTTTTATTGAACAAAGTAAAAAAAAGAACTCCTTTCTTTATTTAGTGTAACTACTTGAGCCGGATGAGAGGAAACCTTCACGTCCGGTTTTTAAAGGGGGAATCCAATCCTATAGGAACCTATCTCCATTTTTCTTTTGCTAGGCCCATAGCTAAAAAACCTACTTTCTTACGATTACGGGGTTTATTCGAGTATGAAATCCAATCCTGGAAATACAGCATCCCACTTTTTTTTACTAACCAAGGCTTTGATACATTTCGAAATCGAGAAATCTCTACAGGAGCAGGTGCTATCAGAGAACAATTAGCCGATTTGGATTTGCGAATTATTATAGATAATTCATTGGTAGAATGGAAGGAATTAGGAGACGAAGAGTCCGCTGGAAACGAATGGGAAGATAGAAAAATTCGAAGAAGAAAGGATTTTTTGGTTAGACGCATGGAATTAGCTAAACATTTTCTTCGAACAAATGTAGAACCAGAATGGATGGTTTTGTGCCTATTACCAGTCCTTCCTCCTGAGTTGAGACCAATCATTCAGATAGATGGGGGTAAACTAATGAGTTCAGATATTAATGAACTCTATAGAAGAGTTCTCTATCGGAACAATACTCTTACCGATCTATTAGCAACAAGTAGGTCCACGCCAGGAGAATTAGTAATGTGTCAGGAAAAATTGGTACAAGAGGCTGTGGATACACTTCTTGATAATGGGATACGCGGGCAACCAACGAAGGATGGTCATAATAAAGTTTACAAGTCATTTTCAGATGTAATTGAAGGCAAAGAGGGAAGATTTCGCGAGACTCTGCTTGGTAAACGGGTGGATTATTCGGGACGTTCCGTCATTGTCGTGGGTCCTTCACTTTCATTACATCAATGTGGATTACCTCGAGAAATAGCAATAGAGCTTTTCCAAACATTTGTAATTCGTGGTCTGATCAGACAACATATTGCTTCCAACATAGGGATTGCGAAAAGAAAAATTCGAGAAAAAGAACCCATTGTATGGGAAATACTTCAAAAAGTTATGCAGGGGCATCCTGTATTGTTGAATAGAGCACCCACCCTGCATAGATTGGGCATACAGGCGTTCCAGCCCATTTTAGTGGAGGGACGCGCTATTTGTTTACACCCATTAGTTTGTAAGGGCTTCAATGCAGACTTTGATGGGGACCAAATGGCTGTTCATGTACCTTTATCTTTTGAAGCTCAAGCGGAGGCCCGTTTACTTATGTTTTCTCATATGAATCTCTTGTCTCCAGCTATCGGGGATCCTATTTCTGTACCAACTCAAGATATGCTTATCGGACTCTATGTATTAACGATGGGGAATCGGCGGGGTATTTGCAAAAATAGGTATAATCCATATAATTGCGGAAACTACAAAAAGAAAACAGTTGACAATCAAAACTATAAGTATACGAAAGAGAAAGAACCCTATTTTTGTAGTTCCTATGATGCACTTGGAGCTTATCGGCAGAAACGAATCAATTTAGATAGTCCTTTTTGGCTCCGGTGGCAGCTAGATCAACGTGTCATTGGCTCAAGAGAAGTTCCCATCGAAGTTCAATATGAATCTTTTGGTACTTATCATGAGATCTATGGGCACTATCTAATAGTAGGAAGTGTGAAAAAAGAAATCCGTTGTATATACATTCGAACCACAGTTGGTCATGTTTCTTTTTATCGAGAAATAGAAGAAGCCGTACAGGGGTTTTGCCGGGCCTACTCATATGCTATCTAAACTAAGAAATTCAATTAGACGATACCCGCCCGTGCCCTTTTGAAGTCGGGTCTATCACATTTCACTGGTATTATCAGAATTTATGAATTTCTATGTGAATCAAGATTGAGGAAAGGAAGTTTTCGAATCACTGACTCAGGTCCATTGTCGAATCCTACTCATCGGAATACGGGGGTACTTATGGCAGAACGGGCCGATCTGGTCTTTCACAATAAAGTGATAGATGGAACTGCTATGAAACGACTTATTAGCAGATTAATAGATCATTTCGGAATGGCATATACATCACATATCCTGGATCAAGTGAAGACTTTGGGTTTCCAGCAAGCCACTGCTACGTCTATTTCATTAGGGATTGATGATCTTTTAACAATACCTTCTAAGGGATGGTTAGTCCAAGATGCTGAACAACAAAGTTGTATTTTGGAGAAACACCACCATTATGGGAATGTACACGCGGTAGAAAAATTACGCCAATCCATTGAGATATGGTATGCCACAAGTGAATATTTGAGACAAGAAATGAATCCTAATTTTCGGATGACTGATCCATCTAATCCAGTTCATCTAATGTCCTTTTCGGGAGCTCGAGGAAATGCATCTCAGGTACACCAATTAGTAGGTATGAGAGGATTAATGTCGGATCCCCAAGGACAAATGATTGATTTACCCATTCAAAGCAATTTACGCGAAGGACTTTCTTTGACAGAATATATAATTTCCTGCTACGGAGCTCGAAAAGGAGTTGTGGATACTGCTGTACGAACATCAGATGCTGGATACCTCACGCGTAGACTTGTTGAAGTAGTTCAACACATTATTGTGCGTAGAACAGATTGTGGTACTATCCGAGGTATTTCCGTGAGTCCTCGAAACGGGATGACAGAAAAAATTCTTGTCCAAACCCTAATGGGTCGTGTATTAGCAGACGATATATATATGGGGATACGATGCATTGCCAGTCGAAATCAAGATATTGGGATTGGACTTGCCAATCGATTCATAACCTTTCGAGCACAGCCAATATATATTAGAACCCCCTTTACTTGCAGGAATACATCTTGGATCTGTCAATTATGTTATGGCAGAAGCCCCACTCACGGTGACTTGGTCGAATTGGGAGAAGCCGTAGGTATTATTGCGGGCCAATCGATTGGGGAACCAGGGACTCAACTAACATTAAGAACTTTTCATACGGGTGGAGTATTCACAGGCGGTACTGCCGAACATGTACGAGCTCCTTCTAATGGAAAAATAAAGTTCAACGAGTATTTGGTTCATCCCACGCGTACTCGTCATGGGCATCCTGCTTTTCTATGTTCTATAGACTTGTATGTCACTATTGAGAGTCGGGATATTCTACATAGTGTGAATATTCCACCAAAAAGTTTGATTTTAGTTCAAAATGATCAATATGTAGAATCTGAACAAGTGATTGCTGAGATTCGTGCTGGAACGTCTACTTTTCATTTGAAAGAGAGGGTTCGAAAACATATTTATTCTGAATCAGAGGGAGAAATGCACTGGAGTACCGATGTCTACCATGCACCCGAATATACATATAGTAATGTTCATCTATTACCAAAAACAAGTCATTTATGGATATTAGCCGGGGGTCCGTGCAGATCTAGTATAGTGTCTTTTTCGCTCCACAAGGATCAAGATCAAATGAATGCTCATTCTTTTTCTGTCGACGAAAGATATATCTCTGACCGATTAATCACTAATGATCGAGTAAGACATAAATTGTTGGATCCTTACGGTAAAAAAGATAAGGAAATTCTTGACTATTCAAGACTTGATCGAATCATATCCAATGGGTATTGGAATTTCATATATCCTTCGATTCCCCAAGAGAATTCTGATTTCTTGGCGAAAAGGCGAAGAAATAGATTTCTCATCCCATTACAATACGATCAAGAACGAGAGAAAGAACTAATACCCTCTTTTGGTATTTCGATTGAAATACCCATAAATGGTATTTTACGTAGAAATAGTATTCTTGCTTATTTTGATGATCCACGATACAGCAGAAAGAGTTCGGGAATTACTAAATATGGGATCGTAGAGGTGGATTCAATCGTAAAAAAAGAAGATTTGATTGAGTATAGAGGAGCAAAAGAATTTAGTCCGAAATACCAAATGAAAGTGGATCGGTTTTTTTTTATTCCCGAAGAGGTGCATATCTTACCCGGATCTTCGTCCATAATGGTCCGGAACAATAGTATTATTGGAGTAGATACACAACTCGCTTTAAATACAAATACAAGAAGCCGAGTAGGTGGATTAGTCCGAGTGGAGAGAAAAAAAAAAAGTATTGAACTTAAAATATTTTCTGGAGATATTCATTTTCCCGGGGAGACAGATAAGATATCCAAACACAGCGGCATTTTGATACCACCGGGAACGGAAAAAAAAAATTCTAAGGAATCAAAAAAAAAATGGAAAAATTGGATCTATGTCCAACGGATCACACCCACCAAAAAAAAATATTTTGTTTTGGTTCGACCCGTGGTCACATATGAAATAGCTGATGGGATAAATTTAGCAAAACTTTTCCCTCAAGATCTCTTGCAGGAAAAAAATCATGTCGAACTTAAAGTTGTCAATTATATCCTTTATGGAAATGGAAAGTCAATTCGCGGAATTTATCACACAAGTATTCAATTAGTTCGGACTTGTTTAGTATTGAATTGGGACCAAGAAAAAAAAGGTTCTATAGAAGAGGTTCGTGCTTCCTTTGTTGAGGTAAGGGCAAATGATCTGATTCGCGATTTCATAAGAATTGAGTTAGTCAAGTCTACTATTTCATATGCCGGAAAAAGGTATGATACGGCGGGTTCAGGATTGATTCCCGATAATGGATTAGATCGCACCAATATCAATCCTTTTTATTCCAAAGCGAAGATTCCATTAGTTACCCAGCATCAAGGAACTATTGGCACGTTGTTGAATCGAAATAAGGAAGGCCAATCTTTGATAATTTTGTCATCATTCAATTGTTCTCGAGTTGGTCCATGTCCATTCAACAGTTCAAAATATAACAATGTGGCGAAAGAATCGAATCCCATAACTCCAATTAGGGATTTGTTGGGTCCCTTAGGTACTATTGTACCTAAAATAGTGAACTTTTATTCATCTTACCATTTAATAACTCATAATCAGATCTTGTTAAACAAATATCGGATACTTGATCATTTTAAACAGACTTTTCAAGTACTTGAAATACTTAAATACTGTTTAATAGATGAAAATAGGGAGATTTATAATCCCGGCCCGCACAATAACATTATTTTGAATCCATTCCATTTGAATTGGTGCTTTCTACATCACAATTATTGTGAAGAGACATCCACAATAATTAGCATTGGACAATTTATTTGTGAAAATATATGTCTAGTGAAATATGGACCACACATAAAAAATTCTGGTCAAATTTTAATTGTTCACGTTGACTCCTTAGTTATAAGATCCGCTAAGCCCTATTTGGCTACTCCAGGAACGACTGTTCACGGACATTATGGAGAACCCCTTTCTGAAGGAGATACATTAGTTACATTTATATATGAAAAATCCCGATCTGGTGACATAACGCAAGGCCTTCCAAAAGTGGAACAAATCTTAGAAGTGCGTTCGATTGGTTCAATATCGATGAACCTTGAAAGGAGAGTTGAAAGTTGGAACGAGCTTATACCAAGAATTCTCGGAATTCCTTGGGGATTCTTAATTGGAGCTGAGCTAACCATAGCTCAAAGTCGTATCTCTTTGGTTAATAAGATCCAAAAGGTTTATCGATCCCAGGGGGTACAGATCCATAATAGACATATAGAGATTATTGTACGGCAAGTAACATCAAAAGTGTTGGTTTCAGAAGATGGAATGTCTAATGTTTTTTTGCCTGGAGAATTAATCGGATTGTTGCGGGCGGAACGCGCAGGGCGTGCTTTAGACGAAGCGATCTGTTATCGGGCAATTTTATTGGGAATAACGAGGGCATCTCTGAATACTCAAAGTTTCATATCCGAAGCAAGTTTTCAAGAAACTGCTAGAGTTTTAGCAAAAGCTGCTCTACGGGGTCGTATTGATTGGTTGAAGGGTCTGAAAGAAAATGTTGTTCTGGGGGGGATTATCCCTGTCGGTACCGGATTCAAAAAATTAGCACACCGTTCAAGGCAAGACAAAAACATTCATTTGGAAATCAAAAAGAAAAATCTATTCAAGTTGGAAATGAGAGATATTTTGTTACACCATAGAGAATTTTTTTGTTCTTGCGCCCAAAACAATTTCCATGACACACCAGAAAAATCATTTACGCGATTTCATAATTCCTAAGGTGAGATTTCTTCTTTTTACTTTTTAGTTATTGGTTTGGTAATAAAATAAGAAGTAAAAAAAAAAAGAAATGAACAGTTTGGGCTGTGTATCAACGGTCAATCCCGGTAGAAGGTTCCGTAGGAACAATTATTTATTTGTAAAAAAAAAAGCGTGGGAAAAATGACAAGAAGATATTGGAACATCCATTTGGAAGAGATGATGGAGGCTGGAGTTCATTTTGGTCATGGTACTAAGAAATGGAATCCTAGAATGGCCCCTTACATTTCTGCAAAGCGTAAAGGTATTCATATTACAAATCTTACTAGAACTGCTCGTTTTTTATCAGAAGCTTGTGATTTAGTTTTTGATGCAGCAAGCCGAGGAAAAAACTTTTTAATCGTTGGTACCAAAAATAAAGCAGCGGATTTAGTAGCATCAGCTGCAATAAGGGCTCGATGTTATTATGTTAATAAAAAATGGCTCGGTGGTATGTCAACGAATTGGTCCACTACGGAAACGAGACTTCATAAGTTCAGAGACTTAAGAGCAGAACAAAAGATGGGGAAACTCAACCGTCTCCCTAAAAGAGATGCAGCAATGTTGAAGAGAAAATTATCTACTTTGCAAACATATCTGGGTGGGATCAAATATATGACTGGGTTGCCCGATATTGTAATCATCGTTGATCAGCAAGAAGAATATACGGCTCTTCGAGAATGTGTCATTTTGGGAATTCCAACAATTTGTTTAATCGATACAAATTGTGACCCAGATCTCGCAGATATTTCGATTCCAGCCAACGATGACGCTATAGCTTCAATCCGATTGATTCTTAACAAATTAGTATCCGCAATTTGTGAGGGTCGTTCTAGCTATATAAGAAGTCGTTGATTATGATTATGTTATGATTAAGAATAATAAGATTAGTTAATTATTTTGATTTCTTGGATCGGTTACTATGTCTTGTCTTGCATTTTTAAAAAGAGATAAAATGGGATATTGATATTATCTTATGTGATTTCTTGGTATTCTAAATATATGATTAATGATGAAAGTAGATAAGTTGAGAAAGAGATGCTTTAATCAAAATAATTCTTTTTTTGAAGTTCTATTTCTGTCAGAGGATAATATGAATGTTATACCATGTTCCATTAAAACACTCAAAGGGTTATACGATATATCAGGTGTAGAAGTAGGCCAACATTTATATTGGCAAATAGGGGGTTTACAAATTCATGCCCAAGTACTTATCACTTCTTGGGTCGTAATTGCTATCTTATTAGGTTCAGTCATCATAGCTGTTCGGAATCCACAAACCATTCCGACCGACGGTCAGAATTTCTTCGAATATGTCCTTGAATTTATTCGAGACTTGAGCAAAACTCAGATTGGAGAAGAATATGGTCCTTGGGTTCCCTTTATTGGAACCATGTTCCTATTTATTTTTGTTTCTAATTGGTCGGGGGCCCTTTTACCTTGGAAAATCATACAGTTACCTCATGGGGAGTTGGCCGCCCCCACGAATGATATAAATACTACTGTTGCTTTAGCTTTACCCACGTCAGTGGCATATTTTTATGCGGGTCTTACCAAAAAGGGATTGGGTTATTTCGGAAAATACATTCAACCAACTCCAATACTTTTACCAATTAACATCCTAGAAGATTTCACAAAACCTTTATCTCTTAGTTTTCGACTTTTCGGTAATATATTGGCTGATGAATTAGTAGTTGTTGTTCTTGTTTCTTTAGTACCTTCAGTAGTTCCTATACCTGTCATGTTTCTTGGATTATTTACAAGCGGTATTCAAGCTCTTATTTTTGCAACTTTAGCTGCGGCTTATATAGGGGAATCCATGGAGGGTCATCATTGATCAGTTTTCGAAATAGTCTTCTTTTTTTTTGAAGCTTATCCCAATTGAGGCAATGCATGGTTCAGGAAAATCTATTTTGTTCTTGGTTGGGGAACATATATAGATAGAAATACATATGTATATACGACTAGAGTTGTAGGAGGAAAGATAGACGATATTACGAAATGGTGGATGGGTTAGGGGGTCAGATATATGTAATGTCTATAAGTCTAGCCACAGCCCCTGTATGTATATCTTTTGAAGAATTATTCTAGAATCCGATTCAATATAAAATGCGTGCGGTTTACGTTATGAAAGAAACAAATGTATATATGATATTAGATATATACTAGTTATATAGGGTTACCCCTATCTATATTATTTATTATTTTTATTATTATTTTATTATCATTTTTATTCGAAGTTTTACTTACTTCGACCCGATATATTTTAGTGATCAAATAAGTAATAATTCATTGGTTGATTGTATCATTAACCATTTTTTTTTGGTGCGAGGAACCTATCATCATGAATCCACTGATTTCCGCCGCTTCCGTTATTGCTGCTGGATTGGCCGTAGGGCTTGCTTCTATTGGACCTGGAGTTGGTCAAGGTACTGCTGCAGGCCAAGCCGTAGAAGGTATTGCGAGACAACCAGAAGCAGAAGGAAAAATACGAGGTACTTTATTGCTTAGTCTAGCTTTTATGGAAGCTTTAACAATTTATGGACTGGTCGTGGCATTAGCGCTTTTATTTGCAAATCCTTTTGTTTAATTTCATCCTAGAATCTAGAATGAAAATGTAAAAAAGTGCGTTACGTACTTTTTTACATTTTTTATATTAACTTGTTGCCATTTGCTTCTGTGAATTATATCAATACTTTCACTCCTACAATTATGTATTTGTTGCGACAATACCCCGGGAAGGACTGATTTGAGGATGAGGAATTAGTGGATTCGCTCGCTTTCTTCCTTCCCGTCCTTTGTTTAGTACGATGGAATTTTGACTTTTCTTTTAGGAAGTGTTTGAACAAAGGAGCTATTTTGCAATTGATACGAGACCTAGGACCTCACTTAATTAAGTATCTTATCGGAAACTTCAAAAAAAATAAGAATTTTTTTTTTGAATTTTAGAATTCAAAAAATAGATTTAATCCACTCCCATAAAAAAATGGGAAATTAAGAAAAATAAATCGATCAAAAAAAGGGCGAGCCGAGTGATACAAAAAGAACTCTGTTCTTTGTTAGTCCTATCTATAAGAGGAGAGCATATGAAAAATTTAACCGATTCTTTCGTTTCCTTAGGCCACTGGCCATCCGCCGGGAGTTTCGGGTTTAATACCGATATTTTAGCAACAAATCCAATAAATCTAAGTGTAGTGCTTGGTGTATTGATTTTTTTTGGAAAGGGAGTGTGTGCGAGTTGTATATTTCAAGAATCGGTTGGATTTAACCAGCTGCACTTTATTTATGTTATATATATTATATATTATAATTAATTTTATTATTATAATTCATTTTATATTCTAATTCATTTTATATTTTTATGTTATTTTTATAATATTATATATTATATATATTTTCTTTTTTTTTATTATTATTATTTTTTTATATTTTCATTTGATATATTTTTTTTTTCTATCTTATTATAGTTATTATAGTATATTTCCAGGATAAATAGGAAAAACAAAGTAGGAAAAAAAGTGCACAATCTCGACGAATTCCTTCTGAATAAATTTTAAAATCATATGTAAGAACCGTAGCATTTCGTTATTCATTGGTAAGTCAACTTTGATTCTCTATCAACCAATAATGTGAGACCATTAACATGGTTAAAGCTAAACTGTTTGAAGTCCGGGCACAATATGGTACTCTTTCTACCACTACGTTAGTACCGAAATGGTAAAAAAATAGTTGGTAATTTTTCTGATATAGAACACTCATATCGATAAAATGATTTGAACCATTTACTAGAATAAATAAAGGACACCTTGCCTTTTTTTATCCAATGCCGAATCGACGACCTATGTATAAAAAAGAAGAATTTTTGGATTTGAATAAAAAAGGGAAATAAAATGAAAATGTAAAATATATGTTTTTCTATATAAATAGAAAATTTCCATTAAATAAAGAAACAACTTTGCTGACAATTATAGATTTTTTGTCTGGTCGGAAGAGTTCTCTTAATATTCTGGTCTTGTATCAGTTTTGATATGTTTGAATACAAACAGAAATAGAGAGGACAGGCTCATTACAAAAAAAAAAAGATATGGGAGAGAATGCCCATAAAAGAAAAAATTGAGCGTGAGAGCCAAATGAATCGAAAGATTCATGTTTGGTTCGGGAAGAGATCATGGAAGTTGTGAAATTAATGGTTAATGGTAAATCTACTTTCATTAAATGATTTATTAGATAATCGAAAACAGAGGATTTTGAGCACTATTCGAAATTCGGAAGAATTACGTAGAGGAGCCATTGAGCAGCTCGAAAAAGCCCGGGCTCGTTTACGAAAAGTGGAAATGGAAGCAGATGAGTATCGAATGAATGGATACTCTGAAATAGACCGAGAAAAAGTCAATTTGATTAATGCTACTTCTTATAGTTTGGAACAATTAGAAAATTACAAAAATGAAACCCTTCATTTTGAACAACAAAGAGCGATTAATCAGGTCCGACAACAAGTTTTCCAACAAGCCTTACAGGGAGCTCTAGGAATTCTGAATAGTTGTTTGAATAGCGAGTTACATTTACGTACCATCAGTGCTAATATTGGAATCCTCGGGGCCATGGAAGAAATAACTGATTAGCCCTTCTACTTTTACTTTAGTTTAGAGTTCAGGCATTATTTTTTTCCTTTGTTTCCGAAAAAGAAAAAAGAGACACTAATGGTAACTCTTCGAGCTGACGAAATTAGTAATATTATCCGTGAACGTATTGAACAATATAATAGAGACGTAACGATTGTAAATACCGGTACCGTACTTCAAGTAGGCGACGGCATTGCTCGTATTCATGGTCTTGATGAAGTAATGGCCGGTGAATTAGTAGAATTTGAAGAGGGTACAATAGGCATTGCTCTAAATTTGGAATCAAATAATGTCGGCGTTGTATTAATGGGCGATGGTTT